GACATCAAAATGGCTCGCAACAGCTCAACGGATCAAGCCGCCGGTGTGACGGCGGAACGATCCGAAGCAACCATATCAATTTCCCTCCTTAGGGAAATTACGAAGATGGAGCAACCTTTTGGACAACTTCGATCACTGGCAATGAGAGCACTTTTTCAAGGAAACTACCTGGAGAACAGAAAAAAGGTAATAGACATTATGGCAGGACCGATAGGACACCGAATAGTGCAGACAATACAACAGGAGCTAAAAGCTCCTTACGTTTTCGTCGGTTGGGAAGCTCGCAACGACGAAGGAGTCGTTGGACAGATCAACGTCTACGTGCCGGAGGAATGGATTACGCCCGTAAAAAATATAGCGGACCACTGCGGACGTATCAATCTAGCAGATCTCCATCTAGGAGAATACCACATTCAAGATCTTGTGGTAGACATAGTAGGTAGACAGGCAGGCGGCTGGCAGAGGTTAAGGCCTGACTTCTGCTCCCAGTCGACCCAGTCGACCCGGGTTCAAATCCGCCTGCCGGCTCCTCGGGTGTTTGAGGAGTGATGTAATGGGAGGTGGCCCCCCATCATATGGACGGTGTAGGACGTGATAATATCAACTTGCGAGCTGACCAGGAACTAAGTTGATGCGCCGTTGATCCGCTAGATTTGGTTGGATGCTGGTGGTGAGTTGCCGAACCCAACGAATACATTCTGAAGTCGGATGGGGTGACGGATTAGGGTGCCCCTCTAGCAGGGGAGAGCAGGGACTGCCCCGGGAAAGGGGGCCGCTGGCGAAGTTAACCACCCTGTAACAACATACATAGTAGGGGCATCTGCTCAATATTTCCGACTGTCAGGACTACCTCCGGCATTTCCTCAGAAATGCCTATTCTGGCTTATCGCGGAAGCCTACGGCTTTGACGTAGATCAACACGGAAAACAATGGCGGATAGTGGAGGCTAATCTCAATACAGCCGTGGTGTGGGTGCGGTGGGATCAGCCCGCATTACCCGCCAAGATGAATATTTTCTCCATTGAGGAAGATGGCAGGGGGATCCACAGGGGGGCGTGGAGAGCGCAACGCACGTACTATGATACACAGACTCCAGCTTTGCCACGCCCACCAAAGATCCAACGACGAAACCGCGTGATACCGAATCTCCCGCCGCCCATTTCGGCGGCGGCAGTCATCGCGGCGCGAGCACGGCCAAATCTAGCGACACCAGCGGTGGGTGAGGTAGGAGGATCAAGTAATGCACGTCAACCCATGGCTTCTGGACAGCCCCAGACAATCCAGCAAACAACTCGACAACAGCAGATGCAAAACCGAGTATCCAACGAGGAGGCAGCAGAAATGGCAGGCAGAGCAGCAGCTGCCTATTGAAGAATTGGCGACGGTGACGGCTAACGCTGATTGTTATTCCGGAAGGATTGCCGGTGGCGGAGATATTTAGCACGATAAACTGTTACAAGTAATGTAAAGAGTATTGTTAGCGTTCGGCAGGACTTGAGGAGATTCCTGGTAGGAATACCGATAGTTGTGAGATAAACTAATAGGCGCAGTCACCGCCCTAAATACCGGCGCTAGCGGAAAACTCGTACATTCCGCGATCTAACTGCACGTACATTCCGCGATCTCACTGCGCCGTCCAGACGGTGCCCTAATGTCTATCACTTAGCTACCGGATATGCATCGGTAGCCCCATAAGGTTCTGGGGTAAGTCTTCCCCATTAGTTAGGCGCAGACCCGGGGTCAAATCCCCTGGTCGACAACCACACGAGTTGGGAGAGGACCGTTTCCTCAACACGCCCCCTCGGGCCGTATCCCAACGAGTACCAAGTTCATCTGCACACTTCACACAAGGCCGATAGCATCTCGGCAACGTTTGAACTTCACCTCGCCCAGAGCCTTCGTTAGCACATCTGCAACCATCCACTCCGTAGGGCAGTATTCCAACTGCACCTCACTGCTATTCACCCTCTCACGCACTATGTGATGCTGCACGTCGATGTGCTTCGACCGAGCAGACGTAATCGGGTTGTTTCCCAAGCTAAGCGCCCCCTGGGAGTCTATCTGGATTTTCACCGCGCTCTCAGGCAAGCTCAAATCAACCATCAGCTTGCGAAGCCACAAAGCCTCACGAACAGCCGCCGCTGTAGCTTGGTACTCAGCCTCCACCGACGAAGCCGCCACAGTACGTTGAAGTTGGCTGCTCCAGCTAATCGCAGCCCCATGGAGAGTGAATACGTAACCGGACGTAGAACGCCGCGTAACTGGGTCTCCTGCCCAGTCCGAATCACTGTACCCGGACATAGCAACGTCGCCAACACCCCCAAAACGCAATCCTAGTTCGCGTGTACCCGCCAGGTAACGCAGAACGCCGGTTGCCAAGTTCATGGCAGTCTTCGTAGGTGAGGCCATATGCCGGGACAAAACGCTCAATGCATATGAAATGTCAGGCCGCGTGTTCGTCGCCAGATAGTTCAATTCTCCCACCAAAGCCCTATACTCGGTGGGATTGCCCAGCAGCTCCTCTCCGTCCCCCTTAGGAGTGTACCTAAAGCCCGGAG